GGCCACAAGCAATGGAATCCATTGCTTACCAAGTTTTATCCAGTCATGTCACATTGTGAGTTTGAAATCTGCCAGAGTAGGGGTTGGCATTGTGTCATAGCAAGTGAAGCTGTTGCCTGCAATGCCAGCAACCCAGGGGTTCCACTTTTGACCCAGCCCTCTGATAATATCCTGGAAAAAGTAGAAGATCCCTCAAGTGACTGGATCCATGCTCCCTACATGGGAGACCTGGATGAAGCTCCTGGCTCCTGTTCGCAGGCAGGCATCTTGGGAATGAACCACAAAATGAAAGATCCCTAACTACTCTTTTATCTCTGCCTCCAACTTTATAAATAAGTATCTTTTTAAAAAAAAAAAAAAAGCATCTACCAGGGTGGAAATAGTTTCTCAAAGGGCAATAGAAAAACAAAAATAATCAGGATTTTTTTTTTCTGAAGACCTGAATCACCAGTAGCATCATTCTACACTCCTAAGCAGCATGTTGTGCGAGAGCAGAACTGTTGGTCATTTTTTTATTCATTGTTATTTTGTTTCTAGAACCTGTAACAGTGCCTGGCAGAAATTTTTACTCCAGGAGTAGCTGTCAAATCAATGAAGATCAAAGTTTAAAAGGTATTTTAAAAAATTCATCCATTCGGAAGGTAACGCTAGGGACAGAGAGAAAGGAAAGAGGAACCTTCCATCGGCTAATTCATTCCCTAAAGGCCACAACGTCTGGGTCTGAGCACATCAAAATCTGGATGTCCCAGATTGGTGGCTGGGGCATAAGTACTTGGGCCATCCTCTGCTTCTTTCCGAGGCACATCAACAGGGAGCTAGATCAGAAGTGGAGCAGTTGGGACTAGAATCAGCATTAACACCATCTTTTTTTAAAAATAGGAATTAAGCAAACAAGTGCTAGTCAATTTTAATTGTATTCTATGCTACCCCACATAATTATTTTCTCATATTATCTATCATCTTTAATTGCACTATAGATATTCATAAGGGATCCACATTAAAATTGATTTTATGTATGCAAAATTAGTCCACTTTTACCAACAGAACGGACTGCTTGTAAACGAACACATGAAGAAGTTTCCTCCAATTAGAAAAGGTTTAGGGGAAAATTTGTGGAAACGTAGCAAAGAAATTTCTGCGTGCATCACTGAGTGCCAAGTGGTGAGAGCACTCACTTCAGGTGCTGACACTGGGACCACCTCCACAGTAGTGTGGCTGATGTTTCGAGAACACAAGGAAAGGTTTACATGCAACCTTTGCACAGTGCCTTCTCTTGGCTAGAGTTGGCCTCATTCTCTCTTTTTTTTTTCCAGTTCACCTGATTTGTCATGACCAAGGAAAGAAGTTTTAGCATACAGAAACTTGTTCCCTATTAGATTTAGAATCTGCAGAATGGAGATTGTTGGCTAGATTGAAATCCAAGTTTGAAAGCTGGAGTCAAGAGATCATTCAACTTACACACCTAAAGCCACTCATTCCAATTCCTCCCCAACCGCAATACACAGACAAGGAGATGGAGGCCCAGACAGAAAGCCCAACTTCCTCTTAAGCTCATTAATGGCAAAGGCGACATCGGAACCTGTATCTTCAATTTTCACTTTTTAGTATGTCTACGATGCAGTACTTCCAGAGCCCCCAAACACATTTTCTCTCCCAGGAACCTCGCTGAGACCTCTCTGACGTGGCCCAAGGTAAGAAACACACTTTCTGCTGTGGATCAGCATTTATGCTCGCACAATTTTAAAAGGATGATTCACAAAACAATTTCACACTGGACCCTGAAGTTTTCGATTCTCTTCAAATCTGTTCTCTTTTATTTATGTTGAGCCTAAACCATCAACTGATCAGCTGGGTCAGGAACTAACAGATCGGAAGCCATGATGATACACACTTTTTAAAAGTAAAGTTCCATTACAAATGCCATCCAGAAAGTAGGACACCCTTGTAGCAAGTAAGGCACGTGTGCCTGTGTCTAGTACATGGGATCTGGCACTAAACATGTGTTTCACCGTACTGGGAGAAAGGGAGGGAGGAAGGGAGGAAAGGAGGACAAAGGACAGATAAATTTTAAATTTCAGGGGATGAGATTATTTTTTTTTTCCCATCATCTGGTCTTTGAGTTTGGATTGTAAAGGCCTCCTGACTTCCAATAGGAATTTCAAAACCTGCAATTTGAACAAAGGCTATATATCGAACACCAGATCTGGAGCTCCATGTATCGCGCTGGGAAAAGACATTTACATTCATTAACACAGCAACACATGGAAATCTTGCTTCATTTCCTAAAAATGTTATTTCAAATCACAGCAGGCCTAGCAAACAGTTCATTTTCAAATAGATCTTGAATTTTTATCTAATGAGATGCGGTGAAAAAACAAAAACAATGGAAATGTGCACATATATATTTGCAGGGAGCCTGGGTATTTTGGTAAATCTATGCACCACATGTGCTTCCTCCACTCGTGGTCTACAATCCTTGTTGCAAACAGTGTCCTCCATCTGTTCTTACATTGCATTGTCTTTTTGTCCTAAGCCGTATCAATTTTCCTTCCATTCTGATACCTGCATGGTTCCATTGTTCTACACCAAGTCCTGCTGCTTTTTTCCTAGTCGACTTAAGTTTCCTAAATTTAGTTGTCTGTCTCCCGGCTAAACCCGTTATTTCACAGGATGCTCTCCTGTATCCGTTCCGGAACACCTGGTCTGACAGCTTGTCCCTCTCCACTCTGCCATTCGGAACTCCTGTCTTAGGGGACGTCCAGGAACTGGCCAGCAGAGCACATACAGGGCCACCACCAGGAGGAAGCCAAAGCCAGAAAAGCTACAGAAGCCAGGCTGCTGAGTGACAAAGGTGCCGAGACCTTGGCCACATTAACTGAGCCACTGAATCTGACATTGCCCGACTCTCGCGTTTCCATAGCAATTTTCAAACCATTCCAAATATGTTCAATACACTAAATTTTATTCATTCAACTTGAGCTGCCACTTTATTTGGCAACTTAAAATATTTAAAAACATTCTTGTAAACCTGACTTGGGATTTTTTATAACAAAAATAATGATGATACATGGATAGTGACAGATGTTAAGTGTTTATTACACGTCATGATTAAATGAATCCACTGGTGCTCAAATTTTGTTGCAGTTTTCAAAATCCTGATGCCCCTTTTGCACAGGGAACAGTAGATTCTTGTGGTCCCAGTGTCTGCACTGGGAAAAGCATCAGCATTACTGAAAGTTTCCGATCTCCCTTGCAGAAGTAAAATGAATGATCTCACTTAATCCTTAGCGCCATCTCTGCAGGCCACTCATGATCACCAATCAACTGACGGGGAAGAGGCCCGAGTCTCCGGAAGAGTGAGACTCAACAGAACCAGACTCCGAAAATACTAAGGAACAGGGCAGATCGCGAATGCCATCAACAAACACATCCACAGAGAACACAACAACTCCTCACAGGAAGTATCGATGGAAGCAGCAGTCCAAGTCACAGGGAGTGCCCAGCCTCGGAGGACGGGCACTTCAGGATCCAGCCATGGTTCATCACCTACCCGCTGCATGGACGTGGCTGCTGTTCCTTTATCAACACTCAACAGACACAGATCAACCGCACCCTTCAACAGAACACCTCGCCAATATACACCTCTGCCACTTGGAGTGTTTCTTGCAGCCTCAAATCTGTCTTACTGAATATATTCCAAGTGGCGGAGGAGCTGATTTTGAATGCACAGTGCCACAGCCCAGGCTGGTCTATGGTGGCACCAACATTTCAAGCGGAGCCATTAACCGCACACTAAAAAAGTCTACCACTTGGTTTCCAATATAGTTCTTGGAGCTTAAGGATTATGGCTGAAACATTGTTGGGAGGAGGAGAAAACTGGTCCTTTTCTCCACTGGGAACTGTCAACAATTTTGAGACATAACACAAAAAAAAGCATTCAGCACGAGAAGGCCAACCAGCTGGAATTCCTTATTACCAATGCAGGCGATGGACAACTTTCACAGCCAAAAGCTTAAGACGCCTTTTTGAAAACAGTTCTTATTTTTCATTATAACTTTTTAAAAAAATTATCACTTTGCTATTTTCCATTTTAATCCTTTGGATAAAAAGGTACCTACAGCCTTGTAATGTTTCAGGAACATCATTCCAGGTTACTTACCTGCTCCATCTCCAAAGCCACAGAGCATTTCAGATGCCAAGGAAAGTATCTTAGCTTTTAAAGGATTAAAACTCAAGGTGTAGAAAAACATTCATAAAAGCTGTCCAAGTTTTACATCACTGATGAAATGAAAGCATAGGGCAATGGAATGGCAAGTGTTTTTCTCTATTTGTTATCATCCTCTCCACTGGGTAATGAAATATTTAATGTATGAAATTCTAAATATGAGAAGGCATCGTTTGTAACTTCAATGACAAGTTCATCCATTCTCCAACTATACCCACCAGATAATGCAAGCTGAAAAGACATAGGTCTGGTTTTTGTCCAACATTTAGAAAAGACTTACCAAAATAAACAAATCAGAAACATGTCTTTCAATATTTTCTCAGCAACTTTTCAATCCAAAACAAGCAGCATTCCACAAAACTGATCCCAAAATAACCCTCCTTGAGCAGTGAGGTTTGTGGAATTAGGACCTCATCATTTTTTACTCCATTGGTTGAATTATCGCACTTACAAAACATTTGAGTTAAACGGGATCTTTGTCATGGATAACAGTTGCTTAACATATGTCTAGGAAGAATCACTTTTTCATCCAATAGCAAATTTGCAATCATTTGCTTTTCAAACAAAAACAAAAGTACAGTGCATAAAGCAAGGCCCTGCTGCCTCTACTTTCACTGTCTTCATCTTTCGGTGAAAATGCAGTTTTTAAGATGCCCTGGATGTATTATTGTGCAACATTTCCAACACAGAACATTTTAATTCGGGCATTGGAGATCACGACATGACTAGACACTCAAGGCAGTGTCCTGCGGGTGCACAGCGCTCTGCCTCCTACCTTGGGCGCCTTTGCGTGTTTCCCACACCTGGCATCCTTGACAAGGCTGAGATCCAACAGCTCTGTCTCCTGGAAGACATAAAAAAAAAATTGGGAAACTTAAGCAATCGTAAAGATCTATTTGCTTATTTTTGTTTCATCAACATCACTTAAAAATAACAGTCTTGAAACTTGAGTGAAAATTTATTTCTACTTGGGGTGTTATTTTTGCTTCTTACATCACATCTCAGTTGCACTGGAATCAAATAGAATGATCACGAACCAGTAATATCTCAATTCAAGACAGATCCTAACACATTTTGGAAGTCAACAATGTATGCGCTGGGTACCATACTACAAGCCATTCTTAAATCATGATGAACCAGGTCTTCCCACTCTACTGTTGAAATATAAAGGAGTTGCTCTGAGTGTAACAGAGGGCATGAGGGGATAGCAGTGGGGAGGGAGCGAGAAGGGGTGATGGAGATTCTCCCTCCAGCTCACAGCCACATTTTGTTTCTTCAGCCAGGATAAAAATATGAGTCTGTTTCCCTCCCTCACTCCCCAGCTTTCTGCATACCATTCTCATGGCCTGACCTTGTCATGTGTTCATAACCCATTGCTGGACATCCATGATGTACACATGACTCTAGGGTATAAGACACACAAACTGTGAAGCCGCAAAGGGATGCGGTGTGATGTGCAAGGTTGTCTTAAAGTAACTCCAACTTCTGGTTCCTTGACAAGGAGCCAGCTGCGTGGCAGAATCTGGACAACTTCTCCCAGCAGAAGCGACTGCCTCATAATTCCCACCACTAAACCATCTGCACAGGGGTGGGCGGCCCCTGTCACAGGCCCCTAAATCACTCAGTACCAGCATCTGGTGTTCCAGGACAACTTCTGCAAACACCTGCCACCAGTTCCAAATGTCTGATACAAAACAGTCCAGTGATGCCCTGGCATCCAAGTTGTGGTACTATAAGGGTCAAACTGGAGGGAGAATCTGCACTGGAATGCTAACCTGCGCCACAGGCTCAGCAGAGCAACTGGAAGTCATCTCAGCTGAAGGATTAATAGTCATGGGAAATACTGGGTCCCTTTCTTTGCTTGCCCTGATCCCGAAATTCCTTTCTCCAATTAGAGAGCATTCGTCAACTGATTTAACTGTGTATAGCCCTATACAAACCCTCACAGCGCATTACACCTGGCATCTAGCAAGAACCCTACAGTACAAGCAACTGGCGTGTTCCACAGTTGCCTTAAGATCATATGAGCCACAGTATTGAACGTAGTCCTAATAGAGTTAGGAAACAATTTATCAATCTCAGGACTCAATGTTTCATACAGGCAAATGCATTATGGCTTTCTCAGATCTGATTCAAGTTTCTCTCTCTACAGCAATGACAACAGAAATGTTTGCTCCAAGAAGCGAAACAGGGAATCGAACTAGGAGCTTAATTCAAAAAATGGGCATTGAGAGGAGACCTGGGAAATGGAAGGCAAAATGAAGTAGGAACAAGAAGACATAAGAAGTTAAAACACAGCAAGGATTGCCCAAAGCAAGAGAGACGAACAGCACTTGGGTCTCAACTTCACTTGGACTCAGAAGCTTGGACAAAAGGATAGTGTATTCCAAGCAGAAATGCCCCTCAGTAATTCACTTGAGAAATTTTTTCTGAAGGTCTACAAATGTCGTCAGGAACAGGCCAGTTCCAAGGATTAAACTAAAACACGCGAAGTTAAGGTCCTCCATGGAAGAGCTCACCACCAAGCATTTCAAAATACCCTGCAGACAAGGGCTACAGAAAGCAAAGGCAGCTTCTCAGCTGACAGCCAGCAAGGAGGAAGAAGAGGTTGTCGGAATTGTAACTTATGTGCATGGAATGGGGAAGGTGGAAAAAGAAAGGAAACAGGTGCTACTATGCAGAGGTTGGGCTTGTGTGCACGAAATCACACATCACTTTGACTATGCAGCAGGTATGGATGGAAATTCAACAATAAAAATAGAGAATTCAGTGGCTGTTACATGGGTATCCTTTTCATCATCATTCATAAAACCCAAATGTGTATGTTTGCTGTACTTCTCCACATGCGCATGATACTTCACCCAAAGGAGTACAAAATTCTCTCACACAAATGTCATTGACCTAATTTCATGGCAATATTTTCTACTCAAATTCTTCCCAATGAAACAAACAATAGGCTGAAGGTTTTCTTGATTATATTTTTAAAAAGCCCAAAGTGACACTGAGATCGCAGCAGGCAGCAACATGTAGACTTTCATATTTCAGATAATGAATATTACTTTCTACTTTCAGCTCCAAGGGAAAAGTTCATTCCCTAAGCTTTGGAGGGTGAGTTAATGCCCGCTGCCCTGGGGATTCATGTTGATGCCACAGAGCCTAAGCCCTTCTCTCCCTGGCATGGAAAGCCATGTGTTCAGGAAAACCACTGCAGGGCGCTATCAACATGGGCAATGTGGCGTGCAGAAGAACAGGTGGAAAAACCATCCGTGATTAAACCAGTGTCTCCCACTTCTATTAGCACGCAACAGCCACTGCTCTGGGATTGAACATTTCCTCTCCTCCACTGGGAAGAAAATGGGGAACCTGACACATGGGACTGCTAAGAAGTTCCCAGTGTCAGCAAAACTTTTTCTGGGCCATTTTTCTAGTGGTAATAGCTGTAACAACTCACACTCGTCACTATGATGCAGTGAAATGGTCCATTTCTTGTTTTATTTCAGAGTTAATGGTTTCGTAACCTTTCCCAGGTCACTATTCCTTTATTCTTTGTCTACGGGAGATCCCATGAAACACTTGCAGAAAGCCACTGAGGAAGGGACTGTGACATAACAACGCATGTATTTGTAATGTAAATGCTCTGTTTATCACATGCTGGGTAAGCATGAAGATGCTTACTATACTAGTGGCTCGCAGACCGGTACTTGCATCAGAATCACCTGATTCTGACTCCCAGAGGAGCTGGACGCCACCCGGGACAACGATGGTGTCAGGGAATCGGCATCTCTGATGCTGATGCTGCTCCAAGGACCACACTCACTCCTATGCCTGGGGAGCAAGGCTTTTTGCATGAATGACTATAACGCTCTCCATTACCCCTAAGTTATAGCATGCCACATAAGGAAGCTATCATTGTCATTTCTTTATACGGAACTCTCTAGAACAAGTTACACTTACTGAATGTGAAACCATACCTAACGGTAAATCATCTGTTTTCAGATTTAATTGATGACAACGGCTATCAGTGTTATTATTAAAAGGCTGCCACACAGACATTCAAGCAAACACTGTGGTCATGTCTTATTTTCTGAAAATGCTCTATTGTACCATCTTTGTGTCATATACTCTATGCCATTAGAAACATCTTCCGAAAAACAGAAAAAGAAATTGCTCTCTAACCTCCAAATCCATTCAGTCACTGAAGGAACTTTGGGGTTCCCACAGGCGCACAGCCTAGCTGATCAGAAAAGGAAAAAAAAAAAAAAAACAAACCAACAGACCTCTATATTTCCAAGACTCCCACTGCTAACCTGCCAAGCTTCTGGATTGTAATCCTAGCAATGCTGATACACGCACTAAAATGTTTGCTTCCTTCTCCGGATCGTTGAAACTGAATTAACAGCAGTCAAGGACCTTTTTATTTTAAATGTTCAAGTATTGAGAAAATCAGACAGAAGCCAGCCAAGGAAAGTTACACGGTCTCCGATGCAGCAGAAAGATTTCAATCCATCAGCCACAAACCTACTGTGAGGTGTATGAGCCATGAAATCTCAGGAAGACAGACAATTTAAAACTCAGCTCTCTTCTGGAATAGCAATTTCCCTACATCGTTGTTGAATCCCATTAGCCACCCAATGTAGCAAGACATTTCCGGTTACGTGACGAACATCCATGTATATCTGCATTGAAGTTTGTATATATGACGGCGTGTGCATAAGTGCATTGATTCCATTCATAAACATTTCACAGCCAGGATTTTAGTGGCTAGTGTGTGGCCCGATCACATATACTTCACATGTGGTTTATTCATTAGGCTGTTCAACCTTCATTAGCAGAGTAGAATATACTCGTATCGTTTATTGATTTTCAAACATCTTTCAAATGTACGCTTGAAAAAACAGTCTCAGTATTCTTATGAAGGTTTTTAATTTAAAGAGAAGCGGATAGACTTAGAGTCATCCATGTTCCTTATTTTTATTCCATTTCTGAGGGGCTGTGCAGTGTAGCCTTCCCAAATCTGGGATGCCTCCCACCTGTTCCCCAAGCATGGTTTTCATCCTTTTGTTCGTGACCTGCAATGAGATTCAGTGTTGAAAGCAGTGAAGGCAATGCGAGGCTACTGCAGGGAGCGGAGAAAGGCGACCTATCAGGGTTGCAGAATGTAAGCACACTCAATTTTTACAAAGGACAAAATGCAGCCATCTGGAAGCTCCCTTTCGAGGTCATCTCTTGGTATCAACTAGCTGTGTGAGTTCCCCTGATTCTCCTCTGCCCTCAGGAATCCAGCAGCCAGCAGTATCTTCCTCAACGGACTGCTGTTCAATCAACAGAGACATTAGACTAAGATCTCCCATTAGCAAGCATGAAGGAACACATCCATGCAACTTACGCTGGCCACATTTGTTCTGCCTAGTAAAAAGGAAGATTTTAGTACAGAAAGTAGACACTATTATTACTACAAGAAAAACACAGAAAGCAAATAAAAGGAGCAAAGGTTTTGAAAATATAGTTTATAAAGAAAAGCAACCTTGGGCCCAGTGCAGTAGCTTAGGGGCTAAACTCCTCACCTTGATTGTGCCAAGATCTCATATGGGCACCAGCTCATGTCCCAGAGGCCCCGTTTCCCATCCAGCTCCCTACTTGTGGCCTGGGAAAGCAGTCAAAGATGGCCCAAAGCCTTGGGACCTGCACCAGCGTGGAAGACCCAGAAGAAACTCCTGACTCCTGGCTTCTTATTGGCACAGCTACGGCCGTTGCAGCCACTTGGGGAGTGAACCATCAGACAGAAGATCTTCCTCTCTGTCTCTCCTCCTCTCTGTATATCCGCCTTTCCAATAAAAATTTTAA